GCCTAAATTGTCCATCAAATCAAAGGTCTGCCTTGAGTGATTTTAATATTTTTCTCAGAAGTTCTGTCTAGTTGTGGGAAGATCACTCCATTCCACTCCCCCATCAAACGCCAATTTTCATAAGAAAAACCTATTAATCTCTCCATAAGTCATTTATAAAACAATACTTTGTCCTCATTTGGGGCATAAATTCCCAGTATCAAAGTCTTAGCCCCATGCAAATTAACTTCCATACCAACAAATCTACCACACTCATCAGTCAATACAAGTTCTGGTTTTAGCTGGGGATTTATATACAAAACAATTCCATTTTTTTTCTTTTTCTTTTTTGTTCCTGCTGAAATAAATTCTTCACCCAAATTTTTATAAATAAGATACTTTATGTCCTTTTTTCTGATATGTGTCTCTTATAGGCAAATTATATCTTGTTTCAATTTTTTCAAATAATGATTTTTTTCCTCTTTTGAGGAGTATTTGCTCCACTTAAATTCCACATTAAGCATATGTAATCCATAATCAAGCCAAAAATTTAGAAAAATTGATACCTGTAGCACCTAGTTCAGTATCATCCCTTTCAGTTTCCTATTGTACCTGTTGGAGTTTTGTGTAGTCTCCTTTGACACCTCCGTTTGTATCTCCTCCAATTCTTCTTTGAATTTTTCTAGAAATTCCCTCTCCTTCTGGACAGAGTTCATTCGAAACCTCTGCTGTTTGAAAGTAAAAATCATACCTTCCAATTTGTCCCATCGAAATGGGATCTTTTTCTGCTTTAACCTTTCAATAAAAAAACAGTCTTTTCTCTTATGCAAAATTCTGATAGGAATTTCTTTAAGAACAATTATATCTGTATTGTCAATCTTCAGTCTTGTGTTAAAATGCTGTTGCAAACCTGATCCCTCTTCTTCCTGACAAAGTGCACCAAAACATCCCTTGGAACGTTTCTTGTTCTCCCAAATCTTGAATTTATTGTATATACTTTATCAATTTCTGCCTCTGTATCCTCCTCTTCCCAATCCAAAAAAATTGCCAAGACTTTAATAATCTTTTCTCTAATATCTTCACCAGAATCCTCTGGGATTGCTCTAAATCTCAAACAAAATGCCTTCTCTCTCAATTCTGATAATGCCAGATTATCTAGTTCTCTTTCCAACTCTCTAACTTCTATCTTACTCTCTAAAATATCCACATTGTCATTAATTTCTTTTACCTCTCCAGACACTTGTTTTACAGAGCTTTCCATCTTCTTAATTTCTTCTTTCATCTCCTCTTTCATCTTTACAAGTCTTTCATCCATTCTTTTTTCAAAAGCTGTCAATTTAGTATCAAGTGATCTTATTGCCCATTTGCTCAAACAATTTCTGAAGCAAATTTGGTGTAATTTCTCTCTCTGAAGGTTGCTCTAGGGATCCTTCCTTCCCCTCCATTCTTGCCACTTTTCTGTGGTTGCCATTATGATATTATAATCCAAAAATAAAAGTGTCTCAAACAAGGGGGGGGGGAAAAGGCAAGCTTCTCTCCCCCTTTTTTTCTCTGTTGTCTCCCTGTGCCCTTAATATTTTCATCTCCAGTGGCACTCCATCATCACAGTCAGCATCACAGTCAACATCTCCATAGTTACAGTCAGCATCACAGTCTGGCTCATATTACCTTTATCTTTTGTTCTGTAAAATCCACCAGTTGTTTGCACTCTTTAATGATAAACAAAAAATATTCCCATGAAGGTCCAGTTTGTTTGTCTAATTTAATTCTGATTTGTTCAAAAGCACTTTCACCAAAAAATAATCTTTCAAAATAACTGTCCCCTTTATCCATTTTA